GATAAAATCCGCACGAGACGAGACGAGACGAGACGGGACGAGACGGCTGCGATATATTATGTTCGGTAATTCGCTTTAGCGTACTGTAGCAAACGAGGTTGATGTAATTGGGATATTTTCGTTTCGTTTGGTGATGGAAATGGAAATGGGAATAGAAAATGAAGAAAGGCGCAATTGATGTGACATTTAATTAACTTTCACGACTCAATTTTTCGACCATTCCACGCGTGCTCATCACAAACCCACATGCACCACAACAATTTCATCTAAAACGCTACAATCTCTTCTTCAATTTACTTCTTTTATTTTGCTTGAAAGTTTGTATTTCGTAATTTTTGAGGAATTTTTGTATGACTAAGAAAAATAAGATGAGGAGGAGAGAAAAAAATAATAATAATAATAAAACAAGATTGTCAAAATAAAAAAAAAAATTGTTAAATTTGGGATTTATGCGCCCAAAGGGTGCGTGTAAGGGCATGCCTTATGCGCTCAACACGCAGAGCACAAAAGCCTTTTTTCCTTTTCTCTCTCTTCCTGGGTCCCATAAAAAATCATACCTTCTGCAAATATAAAGGATCGTTTACTTTATTTCTCTGTTTTTTCATTTTCAATTTTTCATTTTTCCAGTTTTTCAGTGTTCCGTCTCCATTTTTTCAATTTTTCATTTCTCCAATCACTACTTAAGAGTATGCGATTTTAATAGGCAAAAAAATTTAATAAGGCCATTCAACCTAAGTTGTTTAAGCAAGTTCTAACTGAATAACTCAACTTAGAGACCAATAGTAGGGGTAGGGGCGTACATAATTTAGTGAAAACTCTGTTAATCAATTGAATTGACAAACTTTGATTAATTATTTTTAATCGAAATATTTTGATGCAGTTAATGATTAATGATTTTTAAGAATTTTAGTTAATGATTAATTCAATTTGAAAGTACGTGTCAATTAATCGAATTAACTTATTAGTTAATCGAATTACGTGTGTGCATATATGTGTGTAAATTTTGTATAATTCATAAATCATATTATTAAAATAGTTTTTCAAATTTATTTCATTTATATATTAATGTAATGACTATTTTGTATTGTGAATTATGAATGTACAAATTTTATTTATAAACTTTTAATTTTGTTTTAATTAGATTAAAATATTTTAGTTAATTGGTTAACCAAAAAAATATTTCAAATTTTTTTGAATGCCAACCAATAAATGATTGTATTAATGAAGCAAAGCTGCAATAGAGTCAGGTAGGATTGAATCCCACGTCATAACCTGGTCCTGAGTAAAAGCTAACGAAGCTAAAACATATGCATGTAAATTAACATGCCTATAACTTAATGAACTATAAGTAAATAAAGCCATCAGCGACCTACAGTGGTCGACTGTGACCCCAGCATAAGAATAATAGTCATTGGCTCCTGGCGCACAACATTCCGAAGTTGCAAGCAATCCGTGAGTAGATCCACATCAACCATATTCCTCTCGAGCAGCCATGTGACACCCCAAAAATCCACATTCAATCCATGGATTAATTGAGTAATTAATCCTATTTTATTTGAGGAATTAATTCCTAAAATCCTGATTTTTAATACTCAAGGACTAGTATTTGACTAGTCAACCTTAAAGTTGTGTTGTACCTTGAGCTTTGAGGGGAGTCCCCTTGTTCCTTACACTTTCTAAAGGTTAGTAAGGGTATTTTTGACTTTTCACCAAGAGTTAGTATTGTAACCTAACCTAGAAGACTTCTTCATTTCATTCCTTACAATTCTTAGAAATTAGTTGTACCTTCTCTCTAGAAAAGAAGTGTAGCTTATTCTCCAAGCCAAGTTGAGACCCTTGTCAAGATTCCAAGATTTGCTTCCAAGATTCAACCTTTCACCTATCTGGGCATCTAGGAGGGTAAGATCTAAGTCCATCTTGTGTTTTTGGTTCCATCTTAGTTGTCTTTTTCTTAAAAGTAGGACCTTTATGATCTTTTGGTGTGATCTTGAAGTGGGTTTGGATAGTAAGCCTTGTAAGGAGCTTGTTGAGGTGTGAAGTGAAGTCTTTTGGTCTACAAGAGGTAACACATGCTCTACTAAAAACTATTTTGCTTACCTATATGTGATTTCTTGGATTCTACTTGTGCTTTGCTATGAAATGTGAGGGTTTATGCATTTGTCTTGTGATATTGCATATCTAGAGCTTGTGTTTAGGGTTCCTTTGTGCCATTGCTTGGCATTTTCCATGATTCAAGTCATTTTGTTGTGTTTGGTGAGATTTGGCATGTTTTGGACTTGAAATTGTGTTTGGAGAAGAAAATTCCCGAAGGGATTTGTTGTGGTACAAGTGTCTACCCGCGGGCGGGGCACCACCCGCCGGCCTACCCGCGGGTACATGGCCTTGTGGGATGATGTTCCCGCGGGCAGAACCACGGGTGGGGCACTACCCGTGCGTCCACCCGCGGGTACATGGTTGGTGTTGTGATGGGATTTGTTCCCCGTGATCCGTTTGACTCGGTATTTGGTCTTTTGACTTCCCGTTGTTCTTGTGTGGAACTATTTAAGCGTCTTCTTGATGTTTCGTATGTCTAGAACTATATGGTAGGTATCCATGTAGGACTTTGGTGTCTTGATTCGTGCTAAGTGTTCAACATTGTGTTTCGTTGGACCGTGTGGTGTCTTGTGTGTTCCTCGGAACTATCTTGAGTTTCTCCGTTGTTAAGCATGCTAGTTTATTGTCTTAATGCCAGCGTGTGTGTGGTTTGTACCTTCCGTTTGGTTGATGATAACTTGCGTTATTCATCGTTGATGTTGTTGGGCTGTGACCCGTTCCTTGATTGAGTATGTTTCACACCTTCGTTGTAATCCGTTGTTTGACTCTTGTTGAGTTGTGGTGCGTGTGTGGCTTTACCTGGATTGCACGATTAGTGGTATGGGACACTAGTCACCAAGGTATTGCAGCGGTCCTCGTGGTGGTCGTGGCGTGATTATGGAGCTGTGGCCTTTGTGTAAGGTTCACGTTTTTGGGGGATAACATGTGTTATCTGGGCATGTGTGCCATGTGCGTGAACGGTACCTTGTGTACTATGAATCGGTGGCTTTGTTGGAGGACTGTCGGAGGGGGAATGACGATTCCCGGGGGAATAAGGTTGGACTGTATGTACAGGGGTCCTGGAGGTAAAGGTTGGAACTAGATATAAGGTTGGGGGTAGCTATAAGGTTGGAACAGGGCATAAGGAAGGCATATCAACTCGTGGCGGGTGATGTCACGAGGGCTTGTGTAGCCGTGGTTGTGTGTTCTCTCATGTGACGTGTGTAGTCACAAAGGCATGTGATGCCTAGGCAAGTGTTGTCGTTTGTCGTGTCTTTATCCTTGTGGTGTCGTTATCCGTTGTGGTCTTGGGATGTGTTCCCGTGGTGTTTATTGATGAGTGTTGAGTCTTGAGTTGGTGTTTACTCTTGGTTTTACACTTATATATATGTATTCTGTTTCGAAATGATTTTTGTATATACCCTACCTATGTATGATACTTAACAGGTATTGGTGGGTTACCAGCATTATCGCTGACCGAGCGTCGTCCCAATGTTTATCTTTGTATCTTTCAGGTGATGTCTAGACGAGCGTGATGTTAGTGGCCGGTAGTCTAGTATCTTTACCTTTGTTTTGTGGCCTGTGTGCCGTTGTAGTGTTAGACTGTTACCTTTTGGGATAGATGTATACACTTGCAGATTGATCGCCGTAGCGTTTACTGTGTTTGGTAGACGTGGCATAACACCCCGTTTGGATTTCTTTTATCCAGTATTCGTTTTTATCTTCCGCTGTGCTAGTTTTGTTGTATGATCTACAGGTGTTAAGGCCTTTTATATTTAGGTCATGTTTGGGGGGTGTTACAAGCCAGGATAGAGCCTCCTTGCAAGCCAAGGCCTCTGGCATAAAAGGTGAGAAACAGGTTGGTAGCCTTCCGTTCCGCGCGGCTATGAATGATCCATTTGGCGAGATTAGGACCACACCAAAGGATGCCTCCCCCGTAGCGTGACGGTAACCCGCGTCTACATAGCACCGTTGCCTGGCGTGAAGACCATGCTCCGATTCGTGCGGTGCAGGCAGCGTGAGACGGTGGTTGGCGAGGCGGAAGGAACTCATTGCCGCGGATGCTCTCCTCCACAGACCGGTGGGATGAGGTAAAGACTTCTCCCACACGGCTGAGTTGCGACTCTACTATAAGTGATAAAGAACCGCCACCAAGGTACCACTTTGTTCCTCTGTCAAAATTGCAAGCGCGGCTGTTAGCCAGGCAGGGAAACACGGTCAACGAATCTATTTTAGTAAGTTCGGATAATACTTTTATTTTTAATAAATTAAACTTTTTGCTTAAATTACTAGCTATGAGCTGAGTTTAATTAATATTAGTTCTAGAACATATACTCTTTTTTTTCTTTCTTTTTCTCATCGACCATAGGGTGCCCCTAATTATAGCTATTGAGTTTTTTTTTTTCCAATATTGTCCTCACTTTATTTAAAAAAAAAAATAATCAAGATGTCTCGTGTAAAAAGTTTAATACCAATGAATTTAAGCCCTAACATCGATCCCATTTCGCAGTTCTCCTCCTTATCCTACCTTAATTTGAGGAAGAAAACTGCGAATTTAGATAGATCGTAGGGCTTAAATCCCTTTATTCATGCTCAAATAGGGATCCTAATTTAAAAAGCACGAAAGTACCCTTAATAATTTCATATTTCGGCATGTCTTAAACGAATGGGTGACCGGCGTGATGAATTTTAGCACTAAAACAATAGTTGTGGATGAAAATTGGTATTAAAACAATAATCGTGGATGAAAATTGGTAGGAATTAAACATGTGGACCAAAACTGTCATTTTGCTAATACTCGTGGGACCAAAATTAGTATTTGCTCCAAGTAAAAATCTCTCTCGCTAACTTTCGCGAGTTTTCTCTTTAGCCATGTATGAGCTTTTCTAGGGTTTTATGTTTAATTTTCAAACATTGGTCCGTTTCAAATGGCAGTTCCCGATACATCGACCATTTGTGCGAATTTAACTTTAGCCGATGTTGATGATGATGACAACTCCATGCAGTTTCAGAATGTTAATGCTTCAGATGCAGTTGTGGACACATCGTATTATGCTATTGGAAGGCTTGTTACAGGCAAGGTTGTGAAATTTCAATTCTTCCAGGATACCTTTGATGGGGGTGAATATGCGTCAACTTCAACCCCGCCGGTTTCTAATTAGGTTTTATCATGAGGCAGATGTTAATCGTATCATCAATGATGTGCCATGGTCTTATGATCAGTCTCTGTTGGTTTTGCGACGCCTACAGTCGGATGAAGATCCTGAGACAGTGGAGTTATTTCACTGTGACTTCTGGATACAGATCCATAATCTCCCAGTTGGTTTCCGTTTGGATTCCGTTGTTTCAACTATATGTTCATTCCTTGGCATGCTGGTTGAATCTGATGACAGAAACTTTGATGGCTGTTTGCGAACATTCTACCGGGTGTGGGTAACTGTTGACATTTCCAAACCGTTGAAGAAACAGATGAAGTTAAAGAAGAATGATGGTGCGTGGGCGTTTGTTAACTTCCGATATGAGAGGTTGCCTACTTTTTGCTTTCTATGTGGGATTATTGGGCATGGTGACAAACTTTGCCCAAAAACACTCTAGGGTGTAAACCCAAACGCTGAGAAACCATACGGGGCATGGTTACGGGCTGGATCTCGTAGATTGGTTCCTATAGCGGATCAACGTTGGATCCAACCAGAATCCTCTAGTGAACGGAAGAAATGGACACCCCCAGGCACGGAGGATATGACCTCGAGCAGCACGAACTCCGCTGAGAGCAATGCAGATGTGAATGAAGGTCATAACAACAAAATGAAACAGCCCATGCATGCAGGCTCATCTATTGGGCATGAATATGGGATCCCTCAACAACATGTGATTATAGTGACTGATCATAAGCGAAGACGTATTGAGGATAATGCGTAGGGGGATCTTATACCTCTAGTTGGTATGGATTGTGAGACAACCTTGTCAAAAAACAGGGAAGTGGCTCTTGGAATTGCCGGGGGCTTGGCAACCCGACGGCAATTCGAGTCCTCGTGGATATTTTTCGCGATAAGAGGCCGAAGGTTATCTTTTTTTTTTTTTTTTTTTTGGAAACTTTTATTGACAAGAATAAGATGGAGCCAATTTGTGTGCAGTTAGGCTTCAAAAATATGTTTGTAGTTGACGCGCAAGGCCATTGACGTGGTCTAGCATTACTATGAGACGAGTGTGTTGATTTGGATATTACTGGCTACTCTCATAATCATATTGATTCGAAAATAAGACTTGATGTGGGCAGTCCACAGTGGAGGTTCACATGCTATTATGGCTATCCGGAAAGGTGGCGTCGTCGCGAAACCTGGAATAAGCTAAGAACTTTGGAATGTCTTAGTTTATTGTCGTGGGTTATTATTGGTGATTTTAATGATATACTTGATCAATCTGATAAAAGGGGGCGAGCTCCTCACCCTGATGAGTTGTTAACAGGGTTCTGGAATGTAGTGTGTGTGATTGTGGTTTACTTGATTTCTCTTTTTCTGGTCCACAATTTACATGGGAATGTCCTAGGGGCACGATTATATGCTAGAAGAGAAGCTGGATAGGATTCTGACTACAGAATCGTGGCTATCACTATTTGAAGGAGCACTGGTGCACTCATTTACAGTACCATACATCGATCATATCCCATTATTGTTCGTGCCGGTTCAGGTTTCGCAACATATGAGAATGAGGCGTTTCTGTTTTGAGAATGTATGGCTGAGAGAGGATCGTTTCAAGGAAATCATCATACACAGTTGGGATAGAACTGTTGGCTTAGATGTCATGCATAGAATCGAGGCATGTAGCAACGATATATAGAAATGGGGTAAAAACTACAACAGAGAGTTCCCACGCAGAATTGATATATGCAAAAATCGCCTAGAATGTCTCCATCCACGCAGAGATCTGAATGGGACGTAACAGTATCAAAATATAGAAAAAGAGCTCCTTTATCTTCTATAACATGTATTTTGGAAGCAACGAGCAACGAGCAGAGGCCAGAGATATGGATGATGTTTTGAAGTGTGTGTTGGGTAATAAGGTGGAAAAACCCCAAAATAATAATCTTACGGAAAGATTATTATTATATGGGAAAATAGAAAAAGATTGGGAAGGAAAAGGTGGAATATTTGGGTAGAGGTTAGCATGAGTTTGAACAAATTGTTTTTTTCCTTAAAACCTTATTTGCTATTGTTGAGTTTGTCTCATATATGGATTAGGAATATGAGTTTGTCTCATACTAGGAGTAGGAGTGAAACGGGTAGACCCTTTGTACAGGGATTAGATGCCTATAAATATATTGGTTGTATCCCTAAGGGGTTGCGTCACCACTATCACCATCACTATGAATGAGAGTATTGTTTCACTCCCGTGGATGTAGGCACTTTGCCGAACCACGTAAATCTTGCCTTCTTTACCTTTTTCTGCCATTGTTATTATTTTCTTGTTCCTGTTAATCTCAACAAATTGGTATCAGAGCACTGTTGAGATGGTCCGTTCAAGTATAAAATTCAAGGTGTCAAAGTTTGATGGTATAAGGAATTTTGGGTTATGGCGGTCTAGGGTAAAGGATTTGTTGGCATATCAGTGCCTTCTGAAAACCTTTGTAACACCCCCCAAACAAGACCTATATAAAAGCCTTAACACATGCAGATTAAACAACAAAACTAGCACAGCGGAAGATAAAACGAAACTGGATAAAAGAAATCCAACGGGGTGTCACGCCACGTCTACCAAACACGGTAAACGCTACGGCAAACAATCTGCAAGTGTATACATCTATCCCAAAACATCAGTCTAACTACATTGGCGCACAGGCCACAAAAGCAAGGATAAAGGTGCTAAGCTACCAGGCTCTAGACATCGCGCTCGTCTAAACATCACCTGAAAGATACAAAGATAAACATTGGGACGACGCCCGGTCAGCGAATAATGCTGGTAACCCACCAATACCGTTAAGTATCATAAATAGATAGATATAAGTCATAAAAACCATTTTCGAAACGGAGTACATATATATAAGTCAAAACCAAGATCAACTGTCAACACAAGACTCATCACTCTCAAGGATAACACGGGAACACATCCCAAACCACAAAGGTTAACCACACGCAAGGATAAAAACTCACCCAACGGCAACATATGCCAAAACAACACAAGCCCCTGTGACTACACACGTCACGAGAGAAGATCACACAACGCCGGCTTTACAAGCCCTCGCAACATCACCCATCACGAGTTGGTATGCCTTCCTTATGCCCTGTTCCAACCTTATGGCTACCCCCAACCTTGTACCTTCTTTCCAACCATTACCTCCAGGACCCCTGTACTTCTTAGTCCAACCTTATTCCCCCAGGACTGTCGTCCCCCACCAACAACCAACAACGAAAACCACCAATCACGGCAACACATGCCCGGATAACACATGTTATCCCCCAAAAACGTGGACCCATCACTCAGGCCACAACTCCATAATCACGTCACGGCCACCACGAGGACCGTTGCAATACCTTGGTGACTAGTGTCTCATACCACTAATTGTGCAATCTAGGTAGAGCCACACACGCACCACAACTCAACAAGAATCAAACAACAGATCACAACGAAGGTATGAAACATACTCAATCAAGGAACGGGTCACAGCCCAACGACAACAACGATGGATAACACAAGTTATCATCAACCAAACGGAAGGTACAAACAACACACACGCTAGCATTAAGATAACAAACTAGCATGCTTATCAACGGGGAAACTCAAGATAGTTCCGAGGAACACACAAGACAGCTCTTGGTCCAATGAAACACAATGTTGAATACTTAGCACGATTCAAGACACCAAAGTCCTACATGGATACCTACCATATAGTTCTAGACATACGAAACATCAAGAAGACACTCAAATAGTTCCACAAAAGAATAACGGGAAGCCAAAAGACCAAATACCGAGCCAAACAAATCACGGGGAACAAATCCTGAACGAACACCACCGTGTTCCCCGCGGGTGGACCCACGGGTAGTGCCCCACCCGTGGTCCCGCCCGCGGGAACACATCCCCACAGGCCTATGTACCCGCGGGTAGACCGGCGGGTGGTGCCCCGCCCGCCGTTCCGCCCGCTCGAACATCCCTGTTCCACAACAAATCCCTTCGGGGATTTTCTTCTCCAAACACAAATTCAAGTCCAAAACATGCCAAATCTCACCCAATACAACAAAATGACTTGAACCATGGAAAATGCCAAGCAATGGCACAAAGGAACCCTAAACACAAGCTCTAGATATGCAATATCACAAGACAAATGCATAAACCCTCACATTTCATAGCAAAACACAAATAGAATCCAAGAAATCACATATAGGTAAGCAAAATAGGTTTTGTAGAGCATGGGTTACCTCTTGAAGACCAAAAGACTTCACTTTACACCACAACAAGCTCTCCACAAGGCTTACTTTCCAAACCCACTTCAAGATTAAACCAAAAGATCATAAAGATCCTACCTTTAAGAAAAAGACAACTAAGATGGAACCAAAAACACAAGATGAACTTAGATCTTACCCTCCTAGATGCCCAAATAGGTGAAAGGTTGAATCTTGGAAGCAAATCTTGGAATCTTGACAAGGGTCTCAACTTGGCTTGGAGAATAAGCTACACTTCTTTTCTAGAGAGAAGGTAGAACTATTTTCTAAGAATTGTAGGGAATGAAATGAAGAAGTCTTCTAGGTTAGGTTACAATACTAACTCTTAGTGAAAAGACAAGAATACCCTTACTAACCCTTAGAAAGTGTAAGGAACAAGGGAACTCCCCTCAAAGCACAAGGTACAACACAACTTAAAGGTTGACTAGTCAAATTCTAGTCCTTGAGTATTAAAAATCAGGATTTTAGGAATTAATTCCTCAAATAAAATAGGATTAATTACTCAATTAATCCATGGATTGAATGTGGATTTTTGGGGTGTCACAACCTTGAGGGCGGAAAATCCAGCAAATCTGGAAGAGGCTGATTGGAAGGAGTTGAAAAAGCAGGAAGCTACGGACGTGGTACATGCTGATGACTCTTATTATAGTGAAGGTGATGTTCTAGCAGTTACTAGTAACAAGATCGAACATTGTTTGAACTTGTTGGGTGTTTCTAGCTGCTAGATGAGAAGGTGGTGAGGGGCGCTGTAGTGTTGGGCAGCGCGGATACCAGGAGGGGTCGTGGACCTGGTATCGGTATGGGCTTATATGGGCTTGGTATGGGCCAGTATGGCACTGGTATGGGTCGGGCTTGGCATGAGTCACGGCTGGTACGGGTTGGGCTTGTCATGAGACATGGACCTAGTATGGGCCGGGCTTGGCATGAGTCACGGCTGGTATGAGCGGACTGCTGGAGACGAAGCGGTTCATGAACATGCACTGGAAAACGTTTGATGCTGCGTGGTGCGTGTTGCTAACCAGTGGCAATTAATGGTTAGTGGAACATTGGGCAAGGCACACGGGTTTAGTGTGACTTTGCAGGGGCGCTATTGTGTTGGGGCAGCATGGATACCAGGAGGGACCTGGTATGAGCCGGATGCAGGAGGTCAGCTAAACGAGA